TAAGGACTTTTTAGGTCGTTTTGAGGTTCACAGGTGCAAAAAATACACCTGAGGTAGAAAATGAGGTTATGTTTTGCACCAAAAATAACCTCATCAATAAACTTCAATTTCAACCTCATTTGTAGCTCATAAGATCAACCTCATTAACAGCTCAGTAATAATTATAGCTGAAATCGAGTGAAATTATGCAGAAAAATTAACATGTACAACTCCAAAACAACCTCACTCTGCTGATTAGCGGGAATAAAACAACTTCATACGCTTTGATTATAATCCTTGGGAGGTTGATCTTATAGAGTCGTTTTTGAACTCAACTTTAAATAAACTTCAAATTAGCCTTAACACCTCAAAACGACCTTACACAAACATCAAAAACGCTTTAAATGTTTGCAAGGGGTCGTTTTCCGCTTAACAAAACAATCGAAATTTTTTTTATTTATAATCACAATTGTTTTGATTTCAATAAAAACTTATTGCAATGACAATAAAAATACATTCAATCCATTTGGAGAAATTCCTCACAAAACATAAAATGAAATCAATGAATTTTAAATATCCTATATTCGAAACAATTGACAAAAAAAATTCTCCCTTAAACTTTCAAATTATATGAACGTCGATAGCGTTGAAAGAGTGTTTAATCAATTTTTAATTTGCGCAGCACATAAGTGCAGAAATAAAAGTAAATACATATAAAATGAAACAAAATCTATGTATTAATGAGAAAAATCCAAACAAGGTATTCAATTATCCGTCCTGCTCAGGAACTTAATATTGTCTCCGAAATTTTAAGATTAAAAAATATGTTTATACAAAAGAAAACAAACCATTTTGAAGAATGGCTTTCCTCCCCCTTTCATGCCACGATCGATCAGCTCAGAATGAAAATAAAACAAATTTTAACTCCCACGGAACCTACCTGATCAATTTAATAGATTAAGCACTTTATGAAATGGAACTCTTTCAGAAATATCGTGGAGAGGGGGAGTTTTCCTTTCTCTTTTTTTTTGTTCTAATAGAAGTTTTAGAAAATTCGAATCGAACAATGGCTGGTAATGATCCAACCTGTGCGTGACGCTTGCCTTTGTTTGCGAGATTTAAAAAGAGAAATGTTACGAAAAAGCCAGTTTTGATTTCTTGGCCGTCTATTATTTGAGATCATTGAACAATGGAGAACGTGTTTTCTGCCTTTATAAGCTTATTTAATTTTCATATTTGAAGGTAAGATTTTATTCGTTTCAGGATCAAAATTAGGGAATAAATATTGAAAGATATTGTAAGAAATCACTGCATAAACGACATACACAGGAAAAAATTCTAAAAATGTCAGACTTCTTTTTAAAGACTTACATTGTGCATTTCAATTCGACTTCCATTTCTTTTTTTGGAAACATTGAAAGTCATTAATTAGTTTCGAAATTTCTAACAAGCAACTGCAAACACCCATTTCATAGATTTGAACTAATTTGATTTCTTCCGTGTTCAGGACATAAATTGGAAAATTAACAAATTATAATGATAGCGGCATTCAACGACCAGAACGGAATTAAGTGTTTACAATTCTTAAATTGCATTTTATGGGCATTCATTTCATTTTTATAACATAAGAATTTTATGCGTAAATGTGCACGATTGATTATTAAAAAGTAACGTACACTTAATTTAAACTCTAAACATTACTTATAACACCAAATAAATCAAACGGCTGAAAAAAAATTGCAAGACTAATTAAATTCATGTTGGTGAGAGAAATTTTATGAATTATACTGTTGAGTTTCACTCCAAGCTTTCTTATTGAGAAACAACCTAATGAAAATAATTATGATCCTTTCGATTAGAAAACTCATTAAAAAGTAAATATAATTAGTGTGCAACACATAATTATGATAAAACCACAACTAAATATCTCTATTATAAATTTTTACATAATAAGCTAATATTTTATGATTAAAGTACAGGGCATGTCATAATTTCTTTCACGATGAATGAGGCTTTCAACAAATAAAATATTACCAATACATCAATATATTTTACTTACCTTGTAAAGAAACATCAACATTTTGTCTACCACTGTTCAATTTGTGAAACTTTGGTGGTGTGGCAGTTCTCAAGTCTAAAGTCTAAGTCTTTCTACACTGGCTGCATCGTATCACGTTTAATGGTAGCGAAAGAGGCTATGAATGATGATGCGTCGTTGAAATTCTGTTAAATCGCTTGGTGTGCAGGTCACAAATGTATAATGTGACCCCAGAAAAAAAAAGTCACAGAAAATTGTGTTAAGTCATGAGAGCCCGGTGGTCATGGAGGAAGTTGCGTCTCGTTGTTTAAACCGCGTTCTATCCATCGATGGCACTCGTTATTTAGGAAACAACGAATGTTCAATAAGGATAGGGAAGACCAATCTTATTAAAAAATGAACGATACACAATATCCCTGTAACAGTACAAATATCCTCAATCGCAGCATATGTAGGTAAACAACGCCATTAACTACAAATTGACTTAAGTCTGTCTTTTTTCTAAAGATTCATATATTGAAAATTTGCGGAAAAATTGATATTTTTTACCAAAGTAAAATTTGTTGATGTATTGGTAATATTTTATTTGTTATAAGCTTTTCGAAAATAGGTCTTCCGATTTGTGACACACTCTCCGTAATAAAAGAACAACACCACTAGTTTAAAGCCTTTAATTTCGAATAATAAACATAACTGAAAATGCAATAAGAACAACTATTATTAATAAGAAGGGATTAAAAGTCTTTAAAGGCAAATATCTTTATAACTTTTAGAAGTTATTTGCCAAATTTACAGCAATTGCATGCAAATTACAAAGTCATCTGGATGCTTCTCATTTATTACTGACTATATCAAATGATTTATTTATGCAATATGCATGCACGAAACAATAAGACGACAATTACATTTTTGATGTACAGAGATATTATCTGATATATGACTAAAGTAGTAGGCATGTATTTCAAACCAATTGATAGTGATTTCGTGCCAGCGTCTTCATATATTCCTATTTGCTAAATCATAAGCACGGTTTAAGATAAATTTTAGGAGATCTGCGATTGAAAATATATGCATTTAATTGTTCATTAAAAACATAACTACATTGTTGCTTTCTAAAATGAAAGAAATAAAACATAACAATGGCATACATAACTCTCAAGCAATGTCATGCAAATATAATGCGTTAAAAAAGTAACGTTTATATCTATAAATTTATGATTTATATTTTCCCCTCTATTTCTTTTTTCTACGAGAGTTCTGCTCTCTCATGTGAGCTAAAATCAATCTTAAATATTGTTCTGGGTGACGTGACTTACCATTCTTTGTGTAGTACGAGCTGGTCTTCTTTTCAGGTTGATTTGATTGGATCAGATTTGTTCCGATAAGAGAATATTGAATTGCTCGGGGCTAGATATAAATCTTATGTCTCCATAAGAATATTAGATAAAGCATTCCAAGTACTGATATATATATATTAAGTAAAGTGCGTCATCAAATCAAATGAGCAAAATTGACAAGAATATTGAGAGATATTTTGATTTTGAATAAACTCTGCTTTTCCAAATAAGTATGCGAGTAAATGTGGGAAGATGTTACTTGGCATTTTTGTAGTTCTTAAATTGTTTTTTTCCTCAAAAAAATTGTATGAAATTTATAGAACGTAAAGGATTAAACCAAGAAATATGGCCCAGGTAAAATTACTTACAAAAATTGTTTATATATATATATA